TATATATATATATATATATTTTGAAATCCAAAAATCCCTTGGTAAAAATCCTTTTCTTTCACATCGAAATTTCTGCTTGAATACTTGAATATAAGCCAAAACAGACGACACGTGCTTATCCCTCAATAAAATAAATTTCATCATAACCAGAAGTAGTACCTGGAAATACCACCCAATATAGCTGCATGCCAGTCTCCGCCAGTTTGATAAGCTTCATGAAGCACTCGTACTACACTCGTAAAAGGAAGGAAGTGGAAGTTGTACAGCCTAGGGAATTTTTGAAAGTTATAATTTCCAGATTTGGCTATTAAGTAAGTAGATGTAAAATACCCAATAAATTACCTAAAAACATCTTTTTGGCATAGAAAATAAATTCGAGATGAAAAAACAAATATTTTCTCCTGTGCTTTCAGTGTTATACTAATCCACAAATTTGTAGGTTTAATATAGTCAGTCATTCATTAAGACTTCTAAAAAATGCCCTCATAAAATGATGTCTGTTGAATTGAAACTTTGCGAGCAAGCTAATTAAAATAACCAATTAAAATACACTTGAAATGTTCATTAAATGGTATGCGAGCTGTACGACAACCGCGTTTCCGAGCAGCACCAAGAGGTAACCGATTATCACGGCCCAAACATATCACATAAACTTCATCATTTAGCGGAGTTCGTATTACTTGCTGAGACCACCTGAAAATTATTCACTATTATAATATGTACAAACAACATAGGAATTTTTTTTGTTTTGAAAAAAATCCTTATACTTTGGATCCTGAAAAAAAGTGAAAAATTAAACAACAATGAAAACAAGGCAAAATCTCCATACTTGGCTATATAAATGATATCTTCTTTGTTGTACAGATCAGCTACATCTTCATCTGTATATAGTGGCATAACTGTCTGATGAGCATATTGAGTCTTCAGGAATCTGAAAGACTTTTGATCCTTTAAATTCAGAAATTTCATTTAGATCTCTGTAAGAGACGTAAAATTTACTTCGTGACAGCTTCACAATTCGGATTGTTTTCGTCGTAGTTGACAATCGACAAATCGAATGGTTCGCGACGTCGAAGATTTTCCTAGTATCAGTGACAAATATACTTGAACAATATCAAGTTTTTCAGAATTATTGGTCGCTTATCTAAAGCTGATATTCCTGTCTCTCTTCGAAATTGCACTATTTCGAAAAATTACATATTCAGAAAGCTTTCCTATTACAGTGTTAAAAAGGTTCACTTGTATGATATATTCCAGTTGCGTAGCAAGACGGGAGGAAAAGTCATCGAATTTTTTGGCAATAAACTGGCAGTCCACGACAATTCGTGGTTTTTCGTTTAGCCGTAAAGTCCTCCACATCGCTGCCCCCTCGATGTGTTTAATTCCTACATTAACATATTATTAGTTATTAATGGTGGGTTCCTTGATTACAAGAGATTAGATCGGTTATAGCCTGACCCATTAATTGTTACATTCTTTCTAGTGAAGATTACGCAGGGTATCGAAAAGCAGAATCTTATTAACACTAACCATATTGTATAGAGAACACTTCACAACTCTAGAAATCCTCCAAAAAATTTTAACTTGTAAATTCCTACCAATGAAAAATATTATGTAGTTACTGCAACCATTCATTAGGTCAAACACTTTTTCATAATTGACAAGTTAGTGAGGATCACAAATAAAATCTAAATTTATACCAGAAATAAAGTCCTAACTTACTTCGTGCATTGCGTTCCAGATTAGAAGTGATTAACTCATACATTGCTGGACCATAGCCCATACCATCAGCACTAAATTTCGCACGCTAAAATCATAAATAATAAAACAGTTAGACAGTTTGATAAAAATTGGAAATAATCTTCAGTAAAAATCTGATACAATAAAATTGAAAACGAAAGGCTAGAGAAGGATTTGGTAAACGATTATTACTAGTCAACCGTATCCAATTGATAATTTTTCTGGAGTAGCGACTAAGTTCCTGTACTAATTGAGGGCTCAGATCAGAAAATTCCGATAACAACCTTATTCTCTAAATATCATTTCATTATATTTTTTGGTGATTTCGACCTCTACTTTTCCATCTTTTCATTTTCAAAATAATTTCGATTTCTTCATATGAATTTTTTCTTTTTGTTTTCTGCCTCAGCATTTGCGTCCCCAATATGATGTCACTCCTTTGCAGTTCTCATCACTTCTTTTTCTTTCTCAATATCGGTCTTTTTCTCCATTCATTCCACACACTTCTCTCTGCAGGACAAGAGCCTAACTCATTCTACTCACCAAAAGCTCATGAATTTTAGTATAAAATACCTGAAAATTAAGCAATGCATTTCGTGAATCTACGATCGCCTTCTTTTTCGCTTCACGCATTTCGTCGCGAAAAACGTGTTTCGCATATGCTCGTAAATAAGCTACTCGATCTTCCGTTTTCTCTATTGTCATCAACTTTTGCCACTGTTTATCCCGCAGAAGAGATGGTGGATGTGGCATCATCCATTCCATTATCTGACATTAAATTAGAATTAGGTAGGGTTTTTTTGTCTAATTCACGAAAATCTTGGTTAATGAAAATAAAAATGGAAATCAGATAAAAACCAGTTCAAAAACGAAATCACTTCAACTTCTGCCATTATTTTATCAACCAACTGGCGCGAATTTGAGTCCAGTGAAGATAAAAACTCCGGTGATGGTCTAAGTTTCGATTTTTCTCCATCTTCTAGCATGTCGATAGCGGCTGTTTCAATAGAAAATGCTCTGTTACAACAAACATAAGTCGAGCAAGATGGACGGGAAATAACAAACATTGCAAAGCTATAAAAATATGAACATTAAGCCAGATATCTCGAAAATGAGATAACACGCAGGTATTATTACTCTATGTAAAATGCCGAACTACTTGAGGATAATGGGATGGAGAGTTTGGACAGTGCCAAGAATAACTGAAGCATCGTAGCCTTCTTACTAAAACAGCACAACTCTCAAATACAGTACAGTACTTAGTGTTGATATTTGTAATGAAGACGAAAATGATATTACCACCGAATGAGCTCCAACTGCAATGTTTGATACTTTGTTCTCAATACAAGGACCTGACGACAAAATCTGTTCATTCCTGAAAAACGATCAATTCATACTATATCGCCATATCGAAAATATCCATGAAACTACAGTACCATGCAAGATATAAGCTCTCACTTAAGACCCTCACACCCCAGCATTTCCCATGTAATCAACCACCTCAAATCCATGTCAGATCTCGAGCTTCAGTTCCTATTCTAGTTGTCATTCGCTAAAATCCTCAATGTCTAACAACATGCTTCCTCTCAAATTATCGCAATCTCTGCCGTACCTTGTTTCGCGTGGTATTTATTTGTTTTCGTTCTTCAACAACCAGTCGTTCCTCACCGAGAAACGATTTCCGCGCCTGACCTATACTTGGCGAAATGGTATTTTAGCCGTAATCATTGAAAAAAGCTTCTGGAACCAGTCTCTATGTCTCTTAAGAAAATTTGTATTTCTCACTCTCCTACGTAGGCTAGATATCACTTTCTTACCAGCACTACAGTACCTGAAAGAATCATGCGTAGTTTGGATGATGCGATTTTACGGGTGAGTGATGTAAACCATGTAAGCTATAATAACTCATTGACATCGATAATACGCAATAAATAGCTCTTCTATGGGTCTTTAAACTTCCTTAATAGGAGGGACAAGAAACCAAGGACTTAATGTATTGCAAGCTAGAGTCTCCCATATTGGCTACTTCTTGCTCTGTCACTTTCGGGAAGCTCGTTAAGCTTTGGCTCAACTTTTGAATAGCGACAAACCACTTCATTTCAGAGTTTCGTAATTGATCTCTTTCTCTCTTGGCTTCTAACCGGTTTGTGTGAGCATGTATCTTTCGTAGCGAATATTTAAAATTTGTAAGGTGTCGCCTAATGTTTTCTGTAGTCTTGTTACTGGTTTTTTTCAACTTATTTGAAACACTTTTTTTTTGTCTATTTATATGACACATATTATATAACACTAAGGGCATTTTATTTTCTAACAAAATTACATCGATTATGACCAATAGCACTTGAAGGACTACAACTGATTTGAAATTCACTATGGAGGATTCTTATTTCTTTTTTTTATCGACAGAGATATCAGATAACCTTTAGAATAACGCACTTAACAGTCACTTTAAACGGAAGCTGAATAGAAAAAGGTTAATAAGTATAATCACTGCGAAAAAGATTTAGACTTTTTGACGGGGCCGGGTCTTGCACAAAAGGTCTTGCTTCTTTGAATCAATTTCCAAAAAAGTATGTTCAAATTCTCATTGTTAGGAAAACCGCAAAGAGACACACGTTTTGAGCTACCTCTGAAAACTTTTATATAATTGACTATTATCCGCCGTTTAATTCACTCGACAGATTTATGATTCGGAATATTTTTTCGTGTTTAGAATTTAGTGTATTTGTAACAAATGTACAATAATGATTAGAACTGGTTCGGCTTCACGTTTCACACTCTTAGCTTTCGGTTTACATAATCACAAGCATATTTTACATTGACTATTTCAGGTTTGCCGAGAGTCGTGTTGTTTCAGAGCCGAATAGATTTTCGTTCAATACGTATGAACTAAAGAATTTAAACATTACGCCCTTTAACACTTTTCTGAAATTATTCCAAACGTTTTATTCATAAAGAAAACCAACTATTGAAGATTTGGTTGAACTTTGTTTCATTTCCCACTTTTCCATCGAAGAGGATTTAAGGCTGTTTTTTAAGCTCGAAACAAAGATGTGCACACATATAGTTTGGGTTTCTTATTGATCGCCATAGGTACAGTAAAGATCTTCTACAAATCAATAAAAAGGAAATTACTGTGAAATGAAACGTGAAGTGAGGCTTAGTATCTTAAGGACATTCGCCATCGACCATATCGTTAATGGAAGCAAGAATTCATTTATAGTTTCAAATCGTAATAAGACAGTTACAAGGATCCAAATTAAAAGTTTCTGTTAGTAAAAGCTTGAGATTTTTGTTACTTTAGAATTCTTGATAGAATCAAATAAATGCTTGTAGCGAAGTTGTTCAGGAAAAAAGTAAAGAATATGTTGAGGCATAGAAATATAGGAACCACAACTATAAAATGTACTTGTAGAGGTGCTCCATATATAAATGTTACATTATGAAAGCAAAATGAAAGAATCATATCGGGCAAGAATACATTCAAGTTATCGATGCGCTTACTTCATTACCATCGCTACACCTGCCACTTATTTCTTTGCATTTGTATGAGCGAAAATAACTGTCTGTGATCGTGACACATAGACATATTTTAATAATGAGAACAAGCGTAGTGCAGAAATAGATCCACAACTTCCCCAAGAACTAGAAAAAACACCCTTTACTATCACTAAAATTCCAATAAGCGGTATCCGAGTTATTTATACACACCTCGTGTTATTATAGGAACTACCAATTTACAATATACTTCAACAAATTTTAAAGCTCAGTTTTGAGAAAAAAATTATCGAAGATTTAATATTAACTATTACCAAGCATTATCCAAAAATCTTGATAGCATATAGTTACTTAAAAGCGCCATGTAACTTACCTATTGGGCATTTTCCGTCTTTATTTCATCGACCAATTAACTACCGAATAAACGGTACGCTGTGTTAATATGTATTGACAATTTTTAGTTTATTTTTTCGGGCTTAAAACAACTCAACAATACACCAAAACACTTGAAGCTCAATATTCTATGTTGTTTTCTGCACTTTTGATAGAAATTAGATCCCATCGATACCAACTCTTAAAATCGTCACCAACTGCAAAACTTTGCTTGATTCTGAAATCCAACAAATATTTAGCTGCAATAAATATCCTGCGTCCACAAGCGTACATTGAACTACGGTGAAGTGAATGGTCCCATTACAACTCGGCCTTTTTCAACTTTCAAAATTGCAAATTATTGTGCTCATGGGGTGATGCATTGTGAATGCGATTAATTTAGGATGCTTTCCATATGACGCGGTTGTTAAATTCAGCTCACTTATGAACACGCCATCTCGCTTAATTCTTGTGTGACATTTGCGATATTTTGTTTATTTTAGTCTTCAGAAATGATCGATCATCTCATTTCTTCTGCTTCTAGTCAGTGATTACAACTAGCTTATCAGTAGAGACATGCACATCACTGTACACTAATATACTGAATGACATTTGTACTCTTTTAGATCTGACGCTTCTTGAAGGACTACTTATGCTAAATACGAAAAGAGGGAAAAATGAGTGCTACAGATGGCAATGTAGATGCTAAGATATTATCAGCTATTGTAAGCGAAGAGGAGGACAGCGATTCAGATAGAGAGGTATTACTTCACTGTGTAATTTCCGGTGAGGAATGCTAACCACTGATTTGTAATTTAATTTTTGTCAGGTTTTTTCTTCTTTAAATGAAAGTTGCTCAGTCTTTCAAATTCAGCAGGCAGAATTCAGCTCGTCCTTTAATTCCAGTGTTTTGCGGAAAAGATCATTTCTAGCAGAAATTAGCTCCACGTTGCTGTGTTATTTTGCAATATGGTTTCTTAATTGCAGCTGCAAATTGCATTCGAGGAAGGTCTGCTAAAGATTGATAAACTGAATTATGTTACGGAAAAGAAGAGACCGATTATAAATAAAAAAGTGTGATGTTTGATTCATTAAGTAAGCTATATCGTTTCTAATAGTGATGAATTCTTTTTATATCGTGATATTTGTTTTTCTAAGGTTACTTTACTGTTAGGAGTCATGGTTTCATGTTACATCTTGCGCTGTTTTACTGTTTGTAGGCTGAATTGGAGAATAAAGTTAAGGAACTAACGAAGAATTTAACATGGATAGAAACGCTAGACGTGGCAGTAAATAGTGACCATATCGGTGAGAAAGTACTCAACGACGATTTCGAGCGTGAAATAATTTTGTAAGTTATTTTGTAATCTTTTCTGCATTTTGCAGTAGAATTCATTTCAAAGTATTGGAGATATTTCTAAATTATAATGTGTAAGTTTCTATTAAAAAAATATCACAGATAATTGTTATAGTTACAAGCAAGCCGAAAAAGCAGTGCAGATAGCGGTATTACGACTGCGTGAAATGAATGTGAGGATTTTTCGACCAACAGATTATTACGCCGAAATGGTGAAAAGTGACCAACATATGCAAAAGGCGAGCTTATTTTTTGTCTTGAATTGTCGTTGATTTTTCATGTGATCAATGAAGTTCTGTTTGCCGACGAGCGGCTCATACAGTTTCTGTTCCCTTAGAATTGTTATTGATGTTTCCTTTATTTATTGTAAATATACTCACGATATTGTCATGCTATTTGTAGATAAGGCAACGTATGGCAGAAGTTGAAGAAAGCAAGCAAAAGTTGGAAGCAATTCGTAGAATTCGTGAAGAAAAGAAGTTTGCAGCTAAAGTGCAGAAGAAGGTATTTTGATCAGCTGTTTGATAATCGAAATTATAGATGGGACACATAGTTTAGTCATGGTTTTTTTTTCGTGCTTCACAATAAAATTCATTGCATTTTATTTGCTTCAAATTCAGGTAATGGAAAGGAAACAGAATGAAAAGAAGATTTTGGCAGAAGCGGTAAAGAAACATCGAAAAGGTGTCAAATCACATCTGGATGCCATACTGAATAATGCGAACACAACGCGAGATACTGGGGTTTTTTATCCTAGCTTTCAAATCCATTTCAATAATGCTTGCATTTCCATAAAATTAGGTTGTCATTTGGATTTTGGCTTATGTCTGGCAGTTTCAAGTTTTTGTTTTACACTGCTAAGAAAAAGGTGGGATTTTCAGGTCGAAGCGAAAAGGTCAGAGAAAGGAAGGATGCGTGGAAAGAGTAAGAAATTTCGTCGACTGGCCCGGGATAAAAAGTTTGGCTTCGGCGGACAAAAAAAAAGATCCAAAAAAAATGATAAAAATAGGTTAATTCTTTGAAGCATTCTTGGCTTTTTTTATCTCTGTGTGTCAGTGCGACTATAAATAAGTGAAGAAAGCGTTTGTTTTAAGGATGTCTAAGGACTTAAGGATGATGCATTAACATATTTCTGCATAATTCTTTTTTAGCTTTGAAGAAATTGCGACACCTGGAAGTGTAGCTCGTAAGCTCAAAGGACATCATTTTGGCGGAAACTTGTTGAAAAATAGTGCGAAGCAAAGAAAAAAAGATAATTGTTTTTTGTCTAACATTGGAAAAAGGGTACTACGTATGTCTTTTATCTAACTTTGCTGTTGACACAAACAACAAAAAACTATAAAAAATTTCGTATAATTTGTTAAATTATTTAATAAACTGTAAAATCGCCATGCTTTTTTTCTGCATATTTCACGTTTTTCAGATTTATGAATCCAGTATAACTGAATAAAATCATTGCTTTTCAACAGTTCTGGTGGTAGTTTATTAAGATTACTCAAAAAATTACTCACTATCATTTGTACATCTTGCTTTTGTTTTTGTTTGTGGATAAATACTCTTTACCAACTCATTCTATCCTGTTTGAGAGCGTATAAACGTCTGAGGTAAATATTATTCAAAAAGGAAAAAAAAACCTCAATTTAAAGGAGCAAACGATTATTGTGAATTTTCCTAATACTGTGACAGTATACAATTGGTGACGGTATAGAGTGATATATGGCATATTATGTGAGACTCATATAAAATTTCAAACTTAGCTTTGGTCTGTCAGTCAGTCATTCATTCATTCTCAAAGCATTAAACGTGAGATTTGGGAAATTTATTTAAGCCTTTAAATGTCAGCCTAAGTAATATCGATTGAAGTTATGGATTAGCAATAAAATGGATTATTTCACTTGCGCGAGTATGGTTTTATTGAATCTCTTATGGGGTGTCATATTTGTGGTGCTTTTTTCCGTGACATTTGGTACATTTGGTAGTTTTTGCATGCTGAAGCGACGAATGCGAATGCGGGGTCGTGCTGGGTAGGTTTGCCTGTTTTTTTATTATTGCAAAAAAGCAGGAGATCAGTATTTCCATAAAGCTAATTCGAATGCTTTATCGTGCTTTGTACAGCAAAAAATAACACATTCAACAGCAGGTTACGAGGCTTTTGTTTGTTTCTGAGGTTCGATATATTTGTGCCAGTCTCTATCAACGTTGGTAAGCTGCTCTGTTCCTCTAGGCTTATCCTCAAGATTTAATAATTATTGATCATGTGGTGTTTTTATCTGCTGTTTATTTCGTGTGTATCGGACGCTTAATTGACCCTACTTTAGATCTTGTAGTCCCTACTTGTTACCGGCATCCTTTCTAGCCACTCTTATCTTTGCAGCTGTAAAAGCAATCTTGTGGCTTGTAAATTAAGGGACATCTTAAATCGTTTCTTTGACTTTATGCACAAAATAATAGAATTTTCAGTTATTTTGTGTTTTGGCCGGTATGACTATTTTTTCTTTTCCAGATTTTGATTACTTTTTCCTAGCTCAAGAATGTGGTGATCAAAAGTGCTTAAATTGCAACTTAAATATTTAAATTTGGTTTTTTAAAACTCAATTGTTACTTATGTATGCAAATTATTACTTATGTACTTAAACTCTATTTTTTCCTCTGTTAACATATAGTTTTGTAAAGAATACAGTACTTTGAATTACTTACTAGTTACTGCAAAATTTAGTTTCAGAATTTCTTTACAGCTATTTTCAGCAGAGTTCCTTCATTAAAAATGGAGATTTGATAATTTATTTACAATTTCTGATCAATAAGATATTAATTTTAAATATCGATCGCCTACCACAAATCACCGATAAGGTTATTTATTAATGACCACACACATGATCATATGCTAAAAATAATTATTTAAACAATTTGCTCTTGGAAGGATTTTAGTGAAAATTTGACAATTTATTCACAATTTTTGATCAATAGGACATTAATTTTGGATATTGACCGCCCATCGGAAATCACTGACGATGTTATACACTACTCGCCACACACGTGACCAAATGCTAAAAATCATTTAAGCATTTTGAATTAAGGAAATAAGGGACTACAATATATCTAAACTACAGTTGACTAATCATCGTCGGTACGTACGAAATAAACATAGCAAAAAATACGTAAGATTACTACATGATCAATCATTATTAAATTTTAAAAATCAAGGTTAAGTCAAGAAGACATATGCCAGCTTACGGACGTTGATAAAGACTGGCACAAATGTATAAAACTTGACATTAATTGTATCTAAGTTAATACCAAATAATCATATGTTTTGGTTACTTGTGGCACTCTTCAAAAAAAAAAAAGAAATTACTGAAAGATGAACAGTAACCACCAGCATAGCAATGGTTCTAAGAGTGAAACAAAAGACAATAAGAAGAATGTACTGACAATCATAAAGCGATACCCTCAAATACTGAATGTGCTGAAAGACCGAATAACAAAACAAATGTGCTCAGCGAAATGTCCGGTGAAAGAACACCACAATGAAGATATAGATCGTATTAATTTAGGAGTACTTACACAGTTTCCCTCTATAATAGATTTATTCTCCCAAGGTGGATCCAGTAATATGAAATCAAACTGTTTCCCATCTGAAATGAATGCTTTGCTTCTCTTAGTTGACTATAGAGTACTTAGAATCGATCACTTTCAACAAAGGCTTCCCTTATCAGCAAAAGTCATTAAAATGTTGCACTAGAGAAAGGAGATGATTTTCAGAAACAAAACAAGGAAATTTCCCGAAAACGAGAAAAACAAAAATTCACGTCGTGTAAATTACAAGTGATGATATTCGAGGATATGCTACGTCTTCGTCTCCGTTTTGGCTTATTTTTCCTTGTGACAGGATCTTTATCAAATATTACAGCAGCCTGCGAATCCATTTTAAATGGCGATTCTATTGCGTAGAATTTTCAAAGGTTTGGCACACTGAAATGTTCGCCAAATGAAGAAGGAAAATACAGTCCAAAAACAACATTCATCTATTATTCCTGTCTATAAATCTCAACCGAAATTCACCTGCCACCCGCATAAATGGCATCGTAATACGCAATTTCATCCAGTACTGCCAAATCAGCACTTCGTACCCGGATTATCTTCTGAACAGCCGACTCCGTCATCAAAAAGAGGACTTTGCAAAGTTTCACACATAATATATAACAGAGAATTCTACAAGACACAAAATATAGTTTGGCAAACCATTTGCAAACCCGAGGTTGGAGGACAGTTCGCGATCTGAGCTTTACACTGTTATGTTTTAACATTGTTATCGTTGAAAAGTGACCTCAGCGTTAGTTTTCAAAGAGTCTGTTTAGATTTCGCACATACCGTAACATGTTCCATGGGTAGGAGTAGTAATTTCCTTATTTATTTCTCGAATTTTGATTGCAATCTGAATGGATTTTGAGATTTCATCTGGTTTCATTTTGACTTTGCATTTTTCTTCAGTTTTGGCTTGATTTCCTTGATATTATTTTATATTTTGCATTTGGGCGAAAGTCCATTAACGATATTTATGCATTACTGTCTATTGTTACTGACAAATATTGAATTTAATCCTAATTATATATTATTATTTCACAAAAACGAATATTGAACGCATGCATTGAAACGTATATAAGAAAACAACGTGTACTTCTCCATTTTTGAAAACAATGGATCCTGATCTTCATAATTTTTTTTTCAAACTGCCAAAATAAAAGGATGAATTGTTTGTGCATATTGCCAGCCTTCTGTCATTCAGCTTGTATGGCGTCCATCCACTCATTTTTCATACTGTTTGCAGTATTCCATGGATATTTCCTTCTTGTTACTATTGAACTCATTTGCTAACTATGAGCATATCGAATATTTGAGTATTCTCATTTTAGGCACAGATATTCCATGAATATTATTCAGTTTTTGGATGCAAATCTTACTGATAATATAACTTTACCATAGGTGTTCTAGTTCAAATGAAAGTTTCGTGACAACTGATTGCACCAAAATTTATGGGAAGAATGGGTTGTATGTGAAACTTTGCAGAGTCCTCTTTTTGATGACGGAGTCGGCTGTTCAGAAGATAATCCGGGTACGAAGTGCTGATTTGGCAGTACTGGATGAAATTGCGTATTACGATGCCATTTATGCGAGTGGCAGGTGAATTTCGGTTGAGATTTATAGACAGGAATAATAGATGGATGTTGTTTTTGGACTGTATTTTCTTTCTTCATTTGGAGAACATTTCAGTGTGCCAAACCGAAAATTCTACGCAATAGAATCGCCATTTAGAATGGATTCGCAGGCTGCTGTAATATTTGATAAGGATCCTGTCACAAGGAAAAATAAGCCAAAACGGAGACGAAGACGTAGCATATCCTCGAATATCACTTGTAATTTACACGACGTAAATTTTTGTTTTTCTCGTTTTCGATATAGCTCTCTCTGTTGTATTTCCTTTACCATTACTTCACGAGATTATTCGAGGAACAGTTGGCACAGTTCGCTAGAAGCAGGCTTCATTCTCTTTCTGAAGTATTCGCGTTACTTGCTTAATTTTATATTATTTCCTGTATTGTTTCTTCGTTTAGTTTCGTTTCTAATTTTATTCAGGCCAGCCTTGTTTTAAAGAAGATACTGGAAAAGGCAGTTGCGATGGAGGCATTTAACAGAAATCAGTACGAGTCACTACCATGTTCTTCTATTGAAACTTCATCAAACTTTAATAATTGTGTAGCACGACAGTTAGCTCTTACTGTTGCTTTAGTGCCTTGTCCATTATCTCGTTACACGAGGCAACAGTACATTGCAAAGCAAAGCATCAAAGAAATATGTTTAAATCAAGAAAAAAGGTAATTCCGATGACTTCCTTTTCGGTTTTATGTTTGACAATTTGCAATTGTATTTTCCGTTTCTAAAAAACTTCTTCCCGAATGTTTGCTGTTTATTTTAGTGTTTAAAACATTTTTGAAGTAATTTGTGTCATCCGTAATATCACTGATACTTCTAAGTATAGCTTCAAGATATAGCTTTGATTTTGCCACAGTTTTTATGTAAAATTAACCTAGTCTTTGTAGCATTCATTACTCATCATAAATTGTTCCGGCACATCTACTCTGTTCTATATTTCCCAACACTTTCCCAACCCAACACTTCGTTCCTTCACATTCATTTATTTAGAAACATTGATGATATTTCAAACGAACTCATAATGTGGATAAATGCTGGACCAAAAGTTATCACAGCCGAATGCAAAGGTGAAAAATTCATCTTACCTCCATTCTCTTCCTTCATCGTTAACGATGTATGTTTGTCAAGAGCACTGATCAAACGTGAGTTTATTTGACGAGCGATTTATTTTATTTTATTCAGCGTTTGCACAAAATGGAAGATTTTCTTGTTTTATTTCTGAAAATCATCTCCTTTCTCTAGCGTAACATTTTAATGACTTTTGCTGATAAGGGAAATTCTTTTAAAGACCTTTGTTGAAAGTGATCGATTCCAAATACTCTACAGTCAACTAAGAGAAGTTCATTTCAGATGGGAAACGGTTTGATTTCATATTATTGGATCCACCTTGGGAGAATAAATCTGTTAAAAGAAAAATTGTGTAAGTGAAAATAATCCTAAAGTTATGCATTCCCAAAATCTCGAAGTTAAAAAATGAGGAAAAAACTTCAATAACAAAAACAACCTCTGATGGAAATTTTGATGCTGATATTGCAGTTACCCAACTTATGGAGACCAAACGTGGATGTTGGATTTATATGTACCGGAACTTTTAACGGAATCAGGATTGTTCGCAACATGGGTTACAAACAATGCGAAACATTTAAAATTTGTCGATGATATGATCGAATATTTTGGTCTCGAAAAAATTGCAACTTGGCGGTGGCTTAAAGTTAATTTTATTGTCATTACCTTCCACATTTCGTGTCTTTAGATTTGGTGGAAGGCTCTTTTTGGAGTGAACTTACATTTTTATCGATTTTTTAAGGAGTATATTTAAATCATACTTAATTGGATCACAGACTTAAATTAGACTTAAAATTTTTACTTATATAAACCAGTTTTTATAAAACTGAATTGAATTCCTTTCAGACTAGGCGTTAATTTTTTTCGTCACTTCAGGTTTAAAATTTGCTTCTCTTTCCAACTAATGCCTGAGTGAAAGATGTAGTAGGCAATATTGCATTTTCTGTTTATAGTCAGACTTAAAATACTTAGCGCATCTTTTGACATGTTAAAGTACAGTTACTGGTTCTTTTTCTTACAAAGACTTAGTAATTACTTTACTACGATACTACGATCGTAGTAATTACTTTACTATGATTTGCATGTTTTAAAAGCTTTAAGGTAACAAACAATGGTGAACCCGTTTATAGCCTGAATAGCCAACATAAGCAACCTTTTGAAAACATTGTGTTCGCTTCTAATAGTGCTGCTCGCAAATATTATGTGAACATCGTCGACGAATTTGTCCTAATCAGGCATGTGTTTTTGAGTATCCACAAAATTGCACTTTTAGCAAAGATTAGCATATTATTAAGGTATGTCAAGAAATATTCCCAAAAACTTTTAAAAATAGCGGACATACTGGCTTGCATTGTTCAAATATGCAAGGAAAAATTCAGGAATAACGGATTAGCTGGATGTTTGATCTCCTAAGTCAGTTTAGAAGGTTATATCCTGTTTTGCATGGAATATAACTCCGATCAGCAAGGTGGAACACCTTGCTGATCTTTTGGTGCACCTGACTTCTTTTGATGCTATTTTTGACATAGCATCAGCTGAGCTGGAAAACCGGTGGGGGAAGAAGTGGTGTCTTCCTAACAGATTTATTATTAACGAAATTTCGAATTCACCATTATCGGGCTGTCATACTGAAAGAATTTTTCAGCCATTGGTTTTATTTAATAAATATCTTATTCGTCAATCTAAATTTTTTTTAGCACTCCATCCGTAATCCATTCAAGAAAACCACCACTGCTTCCAGTGTTACAAGTGCTTGGAATTCTTGAAGAGTCAGCAGAACAGTTAGAACTGTACGGCAGATATTTATTACCACGAACAACAACTGTTGGATTTGAAGCGGCTAAACTGCAAAATAAGCGATATTTTATTTGAATATACGATTAAATTAAGAATTTAATTTTACTATTTGAAATTAGCACGGTGTATGTTCAAATAAGAAGATATCAAAACGGACCGCGAATCGTCAGTTGATTTGATAGGATTTATGCAAAATCTAAAAATCTCAGTTTACTGAGGATAAAACATTTATCTCAGTTAAAATTACAAGATAGATCGTACAATCAATTTGCATTCATTTAGCAAATAATCTTGGTGGAAAAGTAACACAATGCTTTCTACAAAAATTTAAATATTCTTAGTATATTCAGAAAAGAAATCAAATGAGGGAAATTCAACAGCGCATGAGGAAAGATCTCTGTAGAACAGGGATCTAATATAATCCAATGCAATCCTTGTGCTAAACGCATTATGTTTAGAACATACTGCGTGCGTTGCAAAGTTCTATTTGTTCTGCCGATCTATTATCATCAGTCTGCTCCCAGTCACTACATCACTCTTCAATTTCAAATGAATCTTTGATGCTACTGATCCAAATAACATTATTTTAGTTCTTTTGTTAGTTTTTGAAATATATATAATTAACATATTGAATAAAGGATATCCCATAAACATACTTATATATTCCAGAAATATCCACATCCTTCTGCACATGCTTTCATCAGATCCGAATCACAAAGTATTTATAATGTACGATGAATTAGTCATTTTAATTGGTACCATAAAATTTCTTCAACTCTTCACTAGATTACTTCTTTCTGAAAGTAGCTCTAACTGTTAATGGCATATTTAATAAAAATAAATTTACATATCGAAATATTTTTTGTTTACTGCTTTTTACTCTGCATTAGTTTGCTACAAAAGTTTTAATTAAGTGCTTCTGTTCCTTTTGCAATCATATGATAGAAATAATTAATGAATTGCCAGACTTCCGCAGAAGAAAGAAAACGAACATTTCTTGATTACAGGAAAATCAGAGGGGAAAATGGGTAGTAGGCTCCATACTTTTCAATTATGTTTCCTGGCCCATTTCCAACCTTTCCATGGGAACTTATTTAAATAGTTTTGCAAATAAATGACATTAATTTCTCGACGTGGTCGACCATCGAGTTTTGTTGATTGCATTTCTAATTTTTTTAAGACCAAATTCTGGTAGAATCGGAAGTTTCAATGCAAATTCTTTCGGACTTCAGTGGAGCTGTGCAAATGTTGTGAAAATGACTTCATGGTTGTATCAATTTACCATTATTATGGTCAGCTTATTTCTAACTATATTATTTACAGGAGGTGAATTAAGTAATTCCTTTACTAACCAATGCCCAACACTTCACAAGGCGATGTTGGATTTTCTATAATTAGAAATTTCTAAACTAATGCAATAAGCTGACTAATTAATTGGCTACTTTTTGCTGCAGTTGACTGAACAACAAGGACCCATACCGCAACGAGAATTGTTTGAAGTAACTGCTTCACAGTTAGCATTATTTCTTGAGCAAAAAAATCCTGCTGCCAGAATATATCATAAAGATCTCTCACAGTTTTTTCGAAACTCTGTACTTGAATTCATTTGAAACGTTTCAAAAAAAAAAAATCAAAAGGAAAAATGAGATGGAAGAACTTTAGTTTATAATTTAAAATGGATGGGTAAATAAACACACATATTATTATGGACTGTCATTTCCTCGAGAAAGATGCCGTATCCTGCCCTAATTGCGACTGATTGACACTGAAAAATTGATCTTCCGATTACCGTTTTTCAGTGTTTTCTGACGCAAACTGCAGTATATTATTTTTCATAATTTCCTATTGATAATAATAATAATAGTGATAATAACAATATAATGGTAACAGTAATAGTAATAAAATGATAATAGTGATAATGACAAAGACGATAGTGATAATAATAACAATTATTATTATCGTAAATATCAAACCATTAATAATTAATTAAGTGACAAAAAGTGGTAATAATTGGCAATAGATAGTTTCTATACGTGTTCTTGCGAAATTTCAATTATATTCAGTTGTTCTGTGCGGTTCAAAAAACTTTAGTTCATGAATACTAAAAATAACACTGAAATAGAAGTTAAAGCTTTCAGCATATAATGTTGATTAATGCAAATTTCTACAGTGACAGACTTGTTCTATTGGAATATCGCGACACGATGGCTGTTCAAATTATCTGACCGTTTAGTTTTACCAGTCATTCGACATTTTCGCCAAGTTATACTGCATCATATTTACAAAATTAAGTATTTGACAAGAAAGTCCTCCGGGAATCGGAGATCAGTATCACTCGGAGTTATTTTTTACTGAAAAAAAGATCGCATATCTGATCTCGCCATGATTCTCCTCTGCTGTTCTGAATCACAGTTCATAAATCATGAAAAGCGACGAGAATGTTGCAAAAAGTGTTAGATTCTGGCAAAATAAAACGTGGGCTGAAAAAAAGCTGCTTATCTAAGCTAGGGACCCCGATTTTTATGCCTGACTCAAAATTAAAATATATGATGTGGATGAAATTATTTTTCGAAACCAAACTCAAACGTAAAACGAAATTTGAACTGTGAAACTGAAACAGAAAATTCATGTCTGTCGAAATAATGTTGTAAATCACTGGGGTAGAGAAAAAGATAGTCAAATCAAACATTGTTATTCAGGAGACCTGTAATCTTATTAAAGTGATCCCAGAAATTTAAAAACAATGAATGAATCCAGCGTAATTTATCTGGGCTAATTCGTCAAATAACTGGGATGAAGATTCCATGGAAGCATATCTCGATAACGCTGAAACTATAAGGAAACACTTGATGGTTTGTTTCATTTTCCTTCTTTCTCTACACTGCAATACTCTGTATTAGTTATACTATACGAATGGGCAACGTAGAAATCGAAAGAATGAAGTTTTCTTCTCAACTATTTACATTAAAACAATATATCAGAATCACGAATAAAATATTATTACAAATGCAATAAAATGAAAAGATGGTGAATTAAAAACCAGAAAAAATCTTACATGGGTAGAAAATCCGGTGGTTTGCGAGGAAATCTTCGCAATGCATCGGATTCTCTACTTCTCCAACTTCGATTTGTATTTTACCAAGCCAACAACGACAGCGAAAAAGTAATGGAGCACATATCGATTCCAATGTTTTCAAATGAGGTAGCGCCTTTTGGACGCAATACGGGAGATAAAAATTAGGATAGCTGATTCTGTAGTAATAATTTTTCTACGGAAGTATTATCAATAAACGCAGCACAAAATAAAGGCAATGCTCACGACAAGACAGAATTGCTGCGACAAGATGCAACTTTGGAGAATGTTTAATACTAATGCTAATTTGTAATTTGTAAGTGAAGTTAATAATGTACTTGAACAAAACAACAGCATATTGCAATTTTATTAAACCTTATAGTGGAAAGTTAAAAATATCTGACAAAAATTATTTACTGCTGAGGTTGGAGACAAACTAATTTGAGACGACAAGCATGCATTCTGAAACGAAAGCAGTAAGATCTTCAGGATTAATTTCCTCTTTTCAAAAAGATGAAAATACCAATTTTCAGACTCGTGGTCGTTCATAGCTTATTCGCAACCAATTATAGGTTAAAATCGTTTACGCCTGCGTCTGACATTTCCAGCAGTATGCACAGTGTTATGAGAGATGAATTTAAAACCTATTCAGTTAATCACCTGAGACTATACGGGAATTTGCTGAGCGGTTTTAAAAATTTGAACAGATGAGGGGAAGGAGCAAAAAGGCAACGCCAATAGTGTCAAGTCAACCGTATGACCTCCTTTCCCAGTTACTATGAATTCCCTCCCACATACCATCACCACACCACCATACTGCGCACTTTGTTTGACTGATGATCAGCCTTATATCCCTGAAATTTAAATTCCAAAAGTTCCGTAGTTCTGTACAAAGAGAACAATTCTTTTCTTGTAGGCATGATAACACGTAAACCTTTCTAACCTACTGACCTAAACAATTTCCAAGAGCTTACTCTTCATTAAAAAATACTGGGATTAATCAGTTCGCAAGCTATAGGTGATATATCTTCATATATATTCCTTTTTATCAGTCCAAAATGTTAGCTCTGTGATTGACGAAATAACTCCTTTAAAAAATCTTCAGTTTTATGTTTTTATTTTCATCTCAAGCATCCGCGTTTATATTTCACGAATTTAATTTATAATTAACATTTCCAGAAAGAATCATGAAAGCGATGTTCTCGTTCATAGTTCTTCTGCTTTTCACTTCGCTTGGTTGCTACGGTATTCTCGAAATTAATGGTGATGAGGTGAGCTAATCTGCCATCATTTACTAATTTTTCAAATCAGATCTTAACTAGTTGAATAGCCAAATGAGTTCATTTAATTCAGAACACATCATGCAGAACACATGATTTACACGAGCAATGTTTTCTCCGCTACTGCATACTAAAATCTTTCAATTTCATCAACCGACTTATTGAGTACCATTGATAATTAGCTTGAGAAGAGAATCTGTGTTCCTTATGCATACACAGACAACTTAAATTTGTTAAAGGACCAAAGAGAATCAATTTGTTGAAATTGTACATTTAAAATGGCAAAACTTTAAAACTCAAATTTCAGTTGAACTGAATTGACAAAGTAACGGATAGTTTTGATAAATTTTGAGATTTTTCCTTAATTAGTTCAAGTTCCGAAAGATTTCAATGATTATTTGAAGTGAGCAAATAACTTGAAACTTCAATTTTAGCTGTTGCTGAAAACAGATAGCATTATGCATGCTAGACATGTTCGTGGTACAGACAAAGGGAATTTGGAAGGACACCACGTGGTGTCACGACGCCCTGCAAGACGAGAAGTAATACAGAACAGAAAGCCGAAAAACATCCTAAAGAACAAGAAATATAAGACTATCCAGTTTTCCTAAATATGATAATTTAACTTGTTAATTTGTCACTCAAAACAGAAGGAATAAAACTGTAAATCATGGCGTTAATCCTGATTTCCCCGAAATTATATAATCAACTGATTCATCTCACTGATTTAGCCCCAAGGCTTGTTACATGAATCACCCAACCAGCCTGGAATGCAAACGTGTCCTCATTTTGCAACTTCTGAGTCCCATGTACCCGTCTGTGGTGTAGCTAGTCACATGAAACACTCGTAGACGCTTTTCCGAATTTATCCACGTATTTTGCATAGGTGAAAGTGCACAGTCACTGACCACTACATTCCACCCGAAGTAAGCATTGCCTAAAATACCACCAAATTATTGCAAACGGTTATAGTCACTAGCCCACCACACTGACTTCACCATACCCTCCCCTCTCCTCCGCACAACATGAACCAATAAACCCAACTAACCTTAACGTCCCCACACTCTTAAACATCGCACCAGGATACAACTGAGGCCTCAGGACCCAGTACTCGTTCATAGCCCAAAGCGTACGACGGCAATTCCTATCAATCTTTACATGGGTTCATCACTGGCTAATTGCACCTTCGCCCGAACATTGTTGTATTAGTAGTGCAGACAGCATGAAGTGGTTGCAGTCAGACGACAACAGAATCGTCTTTGATGCACAACAGAGTGACTAGTCAAGGGAGTTCGTACTGACAATGCGGTTGATAAAAATGTCGGTCAAGTCGGTTGTGACACTGATATTTCTGTTCTATGTCTCAGTGTGGGAGGCAGTTGTTCCATTTCGTCGCGCAAGCAGTAAATTGTCGCTTACTACAGAATTATACTTAAATTTGACCGGAAGTTGAATTTATGATTGAAATTCATAACAATATTGGTTATACGTTTGAATGTTGTAGAATACACGTGGAATAACGGTAGAATTATTCACATAAATGCTGTACTATCGATACTGAAATGAACGGTAGAAGCAATTTGAACTAATTTATCAATCGAAAATATGGATATAATATAAAATGAGAAGAAGGGAAGAAAAGCACCAAAGATGAGAGATGAGGAAGGAGTAGTCTTCAGAAATCACTTCCCTTTCATTTTTTCCGCCTCTTCCTTCTTCACCGTCTCTGATCAGAGTATTCGAGGAGACTAGGCGGTTGATTTTACACAAATTTAATTCGATCTCTGCTAATGCCGTTATTTAAGATAATATTGGTCATGATAATAGTGAACCAAGTGGACATTGAGTCCCAGTCATGAACTTGACTGCCAATCTGTTTTCTTGCTCCATACGGACCTCAAAATGTCCAATAGTTCAGATTTTGTAAGCACTGCGGATTTAAGTGGAACTTGTAGGAATTGAAAATCTACTACACAGTAATGAGTTTTCACTTATTTTTGAAGAAGTAATTCAAAAAATAACGATTGGCTGGTAAAAATAAGAAATTATTGCAAACTAATACATTTTAATTACTTTCGATCATTCATATCTAATATAAGCATGCTAATTTATTATCAAACATGCTGGTTATCACAGCATATTGTAATCTTTTGTAGAGTGATATGAATTTTTCTGGGGATTCGGATGTGCCTGAATTTCGACGTTACGCCATTCAATCAATATGTTGTGAATATGTTAATTTATTTCCAAACATACTGATCATTGTATTCTTGGAACAATTATTCAATTTACTGTAATCAAGCAAAATTTAGTCATATCCTCAAAAAATCGAGAAATCAAGACTTCGATCACTCGATTAATAGAGACTATTTCGCAGTCATCTGCATATAATATCAGTTTTTTTGTTATAGGGTAAGATTGTCTCATCAGTTTTGACCGTCTAAAGCAATATTACAGGGAAGATTTGATGATTTATTTTGATTTCATTTCAATTCATTTCTCAGGGTCTTTTTCAAAAACATCGAGAAGAAATTTATCATAAAATGTCAAATTAACCATATAGATTTGGTTTTATACTTACCTTCTCGATCATATTATATTTGATCCAAGGAATCTATTAGTTTCATTATTCATACCACTAAGAAGTACCGTGAGAAGAGCTAATGGAGCTACCCTGGGACTCGTAATCATAAAGGACATACAAATATAATTATGTCCACTAGAAAGTGACTGTAGCTCGCTTGGATATTTTTCTGAGTGGTACATATTTTCCCGATAACATTAAAATGACGATTTTCACTGTTAGCATCTGAAGATTACATGCTATCATCCCTCTTCTACACTAATTAGACTAATTACTGCTCGGATCAGGTTGAAAAGACAAAAACAAACAAAAAAACATGTAATAAATTAATGACTATGTACTAGGCTATTGAATAAGGTAACTTCACAAAGTTCAAATGTAAACCATGTCAGAGTGAATGACTGATACACTGAGCTGCTTACTGTAAAACATGTAGACTACTGAAAAAAGGTTGGAGGAAAGCAGTATCAGCATCAGTTCTATGCATCTTTTTATAAGCCCTCTCTTAAAACCTTTCAATTACCAACCATTCACCTTAGTGATATTTGAATCAGGTTTCAAATTCACATTCAACATTTTTCTGTCTCTCATCTTAACACGCATCTCTCTTCAACTGATGTGTAGATCGGCTGATAGCAATTTATGATCATATCAGTAGGGCATTATCACTTTGCTTTTTCAATACCTCTCTTGATATTTCTTTTAGCAATGCTCATTCTAATATGCATGCTCAAATTTGCTTGAAATGTACCCTTCAGTTATTAATTATATGAGTAGCATGGGAAAAGACGAAGATATATTTGAGTATTTATAGCTGACGCTTTCTGTATCTTCCATTTGTTGGATTTGGATCGGCATTAACATAATTAATCCTGTAATTTTCAAAAATAGCTTACTTTACTCGGAAAAATGAAGAAAAAACACTTCCCAAGAGTAGACATTTTAGCACTAGTGGACATTTCTTAGTGGTCATTGATGTGGCTTTCTTTTGAAGTATTATGAATGGATGGTAGTTCGTTCTATTTTTTGATTTCAATAACCAGTCTCGGTGCAAATCTAGCCTTTGACTTTTCTCTGGTGACAATTTGCCAGTTTACAAAATTTCTTACAAAAATTTCACGAAATTTCCTAATTTCAGTTCGAAACTTGTACAGTGAATAGATTCGAATTTTCTGTTGGCGTCTCAAATTTCTATTTATTATTTTGAAATTTGCTAAAGATAGCATCAAGAAATAATAATTTTTGCCGGGTCGTTCCTTCATGAATTCTTGCTTGAAGGACACTCTTCTTGGATTCCAGTTATTAAAGTGTTGCGGATGAAGTATTTTTCACTTGCTGATTGATAGTTAGAGAGTTGTACTTTTTCTTATTCATTTTTAACATTTCCTTCAGGAAAATATAAAAAAAGTAAAAGTCGAACATTGGAAATGTTCCGAAAATACGCAATTCGGCACTGTATCGTACAAGTACTTCTAGCATTTATTTTTGTACTGTCGTATGAATTCACTAATATCAAAAGCCAATTCAAATTTATCTGTGGCTAATGGAGCAGAACACAGAATAAATCACAGATTTATAGTATAAATCAGTGAACCTAGAAATAGTTACAAACAATTTGTCTCTTGCCTTTTTTAGTGAATACAATATTTTGAACTATCGCTTAACGAGTTTAGACGCTTGCTGGAAACAACAGTGATGGTAAATCTGCAAAGTTTATTGAGTGTATGTCGGCAACAGCGGCTGCAGTTGTATATGGATTTAATAAAAAGGATGTATCAATATCAGTTCTTGACGATGCTATGATGTCCTGAAATTAAATTTCAAATCTTTTTGACAAATACGTGCTCATCTCCAGTTTTTGATATTACATTATTTAAGAATATTTTGGAATCCTCTAAGATTTTGATTGCAAAATTTGCCAATTAAAAAAAATTTTGCAGCGGTAAATTGCAAAAAAATTTAAATTAGAATTTTTTATTGAAAATTATTTTACCATTTCTTGAAAATATGGCGCAGAAGAATTTGGATGAAACAAGAATGGATTAAATGTTGATGTTGCTAGAGATTTCCGGCATCGAGCTCGACGATTGCTAAACCAAACCTATAAAATTCCAATCAAAATATGAACATTATAAAAAAAATTAGATCAACTATAAAAATGTCTCTTGGTGAACAAAATTATGGGATGTAAACGAATATAATTTTTGGTTGCACGAAGCAAAAGTACGGTCGGACATTACCCTTGGGAGTTTCCGATTTTAAAATCTGTTTAAAAGGCAAAAATAACTGAAGAAATTAAAGATATGCAATCATGTGAAATATAGAAAAGAGAACTTCGAATAACCTGTATTTTACCCTCATCCAATTTGGTTGCTGCAGCAAGACGCTCACGCAATTCCTGATCCGGATAGGTATTCGCTTTGAAAGCTGCTTCCAATACCTCTAGCTGTTCCTGCGTGAAACTTGTTCTATTTCTACGAGTCCTACCAACCATTTCTGTTTGATATTCTGGGAGTAACTGTCCAGTACTATTGCATTTTCCTGTAGTATTAAGTGCTATCAATCAATTCAGTGAAGCAGAAATGCTTTCTAACGTTGTTATTATTATTCGTCTGTTAGAAGGAAGTGAGAAATTTATACAGTACATAACAAAAATATTTCTGTCTTCTTCAGAAAACTATTTCGGTAACTTTGCTAACGAGGAACGATAAGTGTTAGACAAGTGATATGATTGAATAAGAAATGAATAGGAAATCTAAAAGTTTTTTATGCCTCCTAGAGAAAAATCCCTAACTCCTAGAGATTTGCAATACAAAAGCATCAGAATAGGCTTCGATCTTGATTTAATTTAAAACGAAATTTAATATTCAATGAGTAGCAGAGGTTTGGATATTATATCAGATAGCTTTTGGAAGAAGAAAATAAGTGATCAAAATTCTCTTGGAAAATTCCATGCATCAAATCCAAATGGTTTACTACCTGAAATTTGACTATGTAAATGCCTGCGGCCATATATGGCAGCAAACCAAGCATTTAAAGACCTACAAATTAAGTTTAATTATATAATTGATAAGAAAGCAAGAATGAAATAGTATACTTCAAATAATTGTTCTCCATTGCTAGAATTGCAGTGGCTTTTGTCCATAAGAAAAAAAAAAAAATAACCGTTTTAGCGTATCATTAACTAAACGATCATGCATTACTGATCATGACTGATACTATACAACAGTTTTAATTACAAGTTAATCATATTACAATGAACAGAAATGGTTTCTGCTAGTTCCTTAAAGTATGTCATTTTGTATGTTCAAAGAAACGAATAAATGAAACATACTTTTGCCATATGTTTAATTTTCTACCAATATGAAGCAACATTTTAGAAAAATGTTAGTGGAATTCCTCTGTACCCTCTTCTTAGACTATAACATTTTTCTAATGTTATCCATTGTTGCCTAATTGTCGTGATTTGTAGAAGTATTCACAGTCACTCAGTAGAAAAAAAAAAAAGAAATTATAAAAGATTGAAAATTGCGAACGTTTTGCTAATATTCGACCATGAATGAAAATTGATACCTGTAAAGGTACCGAGAATGCCATCTATACTATGTTTTAACGTGAAAACTTTATGTTGTTTCAGCAAAGCTTTCGACGAGTAGTGATGAGTCTGGATTCCGCTTCGCATACTCCTATCTCTGCAATATCTACTCTTTTAATCGTCAATAATTTATGAGCCTCTATAGCTACAGAAACTTGTAATGAACCATAAGATATAATTGAAATTCTTCAAATTCAAATGAAGAATTCAAAATAAGGTGTACCTTTATTGCGAAAAATTTTATATTTACAGAAAACCTTTTCAGTTATTTATCCGGAATGAATTGATAAGTTCAACTGATAAGAAATTTCCTGCAATTCCTTGAAAAATTTGGTAAACTAACAACCTCATGTATTTATGTATTGAAGAAATGGTTGGCGCATTCGAACGACTACAAATTCCTTTATCAATGAGCATCAAACGAATTTCATGAGCATTGATAGCGGGTCGATCTTGACGAATTCGATCTATGTGCTCCTCTAATGCTAGAATCGTTTTGCGTGATCGTGGATTACCACCGATCTTAAAGCTTTTATAAAATTGTCACATTTTCGGTGTGGCAAACGAACGGATTTAGAAAATCGAAAGTGAAAGTTCTACAAGAAATCCTAAACATTGTATATACGTCGTGGAAGTACAAAAAACCGGCAGTGCATAAAATGAATAAACATGCGCATGGAAAAATAATTATTATAATTAAAAATAATTGTCGCTATAGATATTAACTTTTAGTGTCCGTTAACTTAATGAAGAAATATATTGGTATCTAACAAACATACTGGAAATTTCAATGATAACATACGTAATTTTTTTGAAAAATTCAACAGAAAAACGAAATAAAATAAGAATTTGATGCTGGTATTGATATCATCACACGACTAATATTTCAAATAAGAAGGATCTCTTGAGAATATGAGACTGTAATCAAACATTTTAAGCGTTAATAGTTGTTTAATGAGAAATTTTTTTTAGAAATTTGATGAAAATTTTTTTTTTAATATTGCGCATTATTATTCTGGCTGTGTATTAGTAGAAACTGATGACAATAACGTTTGCTATCTTTTAATTTTTCACTATTTTGTAGATTCTTAGTTTTAAAAAAAAGATGCAGTCCTTTTAAAAAATTATTGTTGAATTTTTTAATATACAATTTGTGTTAATCGTGCAAATTTAATGAGAAATTTGGGAATCTGTGAAAAATAAGTTGAAATATTTCAGTAGCACATTGTCATGTACGAACAACCCAATCAGCAGATTATAGGAAAGCTTCTGCTAATTTGTTTCGTCCCACAATTTAACAAAGTGGACTAATTTACGTAAAATAAATAAAAAAATTATAATTTTGATGGTAACATCAAACTGCTACCAACAATTCAACGTTTGGCATGCTTCGACAAATCAATACTTTGTAAAATTTATCATGTAAATGTAACTATCGCATTCAGAACTAATCACAAGGCCAGAACTGAAACTGCATAATACCAATCTTTAATTTTTCTGCTTTTTTGACTTACATTAGAAGCGACATCTCATTCGGTTCAATATATTTTATTCTACTCATAGATCGAATATGTAGTCAAACCGCGATCTCCCAGAAAATCTGACGATATAAGAAGTTTCATTACTTTCCTCTCTCCACATTTACCATCTAATGCCGTAGTTGAATTACAAGAATGAATTCGGAGGGATTTTTTTTTCCTCCTTAAACATCTCTACCCTTTTCATTTGGATAAAATAATTATACACATAACGATTGTCAGATGAATTCTACTAAAAATCAAAAATTTTGCTTTTCCGAATGAAGTCAACACTGGATAAAGTTGAAAAGTGTGTATCGTCTTGTAATATTGAGAGCAAAATTGTTGAAAAAGCAAGAATAAACTTATACTATGCTAAAGTCCATTAAAAGAGTAACGAGGAGGTTTGATAAAGGGAATGAAATCAAGAATCATGAACAGAAGCAAACCATGGTATCATATTATTATGAGCATCTAGTTATCTAGAAGTGTTCGGAAATATACAGTATAGTTAAATGCTTAAAGCAATATTATTTAATGTATTTTTAAATGCTATTATAGGTTATTGCATATTTTTTACATGAGTTAATGTAGTTAGTTCCAACTTGCAGATTCCAGATTTTCTCATATATAAATTAAGCGCGCAAACCTGTCCAGGCGATACAGATCCAGTTTCAGCATAACGGTACAAAATTTTTGATACACAACCATGTGAAACTCGTAACTGTCTGCTGATATGACACGGCCTGTAAGAGTTTCGTATCAAACTTCAATAATGGCACTTTAACAACAAAGCAAGAAAGTAGATGGAGAAAATGAATTATTCATAAGATTTAATAATCGATATGTGTATCACTGAGTAGTATCTTACCTTCCGAAGGTTATAAAAAGTTTCTTCGTGCTTAATTTTTGAGCCGATCGCTTTTACAGGGTAAATTCCTCGTATCGATAAGAACCCAGGAAAAAAAAACCTTTACAAATGAACAAAGTGAAAAAGACCACCCGTGAAACACTTTTCTCTTTTGCGCCAGAAAAGATTAGAGAAAATAAATGGCGCTCTTAAATTTAATGGCCAAAAAAATGTCATTAAGAAAAGAATGAGGAGGGGCTAGAAAAAAAGGAAATTGCTGGACATGAAGTACGCAATTTGC